ACCACCTGCCATATTGATTAATTGTTAATGGATAGTTAAAATTAAATTAATCTGATTAATCTAATTTTAACAATTTTATACTGCATGATGTTAGACTCATTTATAGCAATTTGCCATATCCTATAAGTTTATCATATGTTTCTTTTAATTTTACGCTTCAATTTGAAAAGTAATAACTATAGTTGTGAGACAAATGTACTAAACTGCAGCATGTCTCCCTGACATGGGGTAAAAATATAAAGTAGCATAAAATGGAAATACAGTACTTCAGAATTCTAGTTAAGGACAGTGCTTGTGTACATGTTTTTAAGTATTATTCTAGCAGTAAGAAAGAGCTGAATTTGGCAGTGAGAAACATCTGGTCTGGATACTACTCAGCTGGTCTGGGAGTTACTCATAAATAGTTATAATGAACTCCAGGATTTTACTAGAACTCCACTGTGGTTGTGTGGGTTTGTGGTTTCCCTCCAGGGAGTACTACAGGCTCTAAGCTAAGCTGCCCATAAATAAAGAAAAGTATGTGAGAGTGATGGTTGCATTGTCTGCATTAAGTGCAGGATGCTGTCCTGGAACTCACTCGAACCCCTGAGAGGCTGAAGAGGACTAAACCAGTAGAGAAAATAAGCAAATGATTCTGTTACAAAAACTCTCACTGCTGCACATGAGAATGTAGAATAATAATAATAACGTTTTTCTAGGACAATGTTGAGCTTGCTTTTTTTTTTTAATCCAAAGCCAGGAAAACAGACATGTTTACAAAGTACATTTGAGCTTTGGGTTATCCGATCAAGTGAAGGTCCCAGCAACCCCCGCCTTCCCCTCCCCTCTTATCCATCTTTCTTGAATGCTGATCTCACAGGACTGCAGCTGAACGTGATGATGGAGTAATTAGTAGCTTCAAAGCATTTATTTGCTTTCATACATCCAGCACCGCTCTTTACTCTGCAGTGTTAACCACCTTCAGAACCCTGTTATGTTCAGGTTAAGTGACTTTTTTCTCTCCTTTCACTGCAAATGCACTCATTCTCTCTCTGTCTCTGAGTTTCCTTTGGAAGCAATGTTGCAGCATAGGATGGAGGCTGCAGCATGAACACACTTACATTGTGTGGTGAAGTACAGAATATACCTGAAACACTGTAGACATTAGTTGGCATGATTCACTAGGTACAACAAGGTTATTGTGTGCTATTTAAATTATTAAAAATGACTAATAATATGGACTGCAGCTTCATTTAAATCAGCTTTTCCCTTCCTCATAAAACAGATTATTGTCCAGCTCAACAATAGTTAGGAGGAACAGCAGTTCTACAGCACGCCACATGGTACTCCAACGTAGGCCCACCAATAACAATTAAAGTAATGCAGAGCACTAGGACACTATGCTTCCCCCATTTAACTATTAACAGAGGCTCAGAGGGGTAATGGCACAGCACAGATGGCAAGAGGTTTGTTTGTTAAAGGTACAGTAGGGCCTGCAGAGCTTGGTTAAACAGGAGAACAGTAAAGGCTTTATTCTATTATAAAGCCACATCCAGTTCTTTCAAACCAGGAACTCAGCGAGACGAAGCGGACCACTTGAGTATATAAAAAATATAACCGTGCTGGTTTATTCAAAGGGTCACAGGCAAGAATTAACATTACACGTCCAGGCATCTTCCACCCCCAAAACTGCGCGCAGGCAGCCCGGAAGATGAAAAAGCTCATGACAACGAACTAAGCATTTAACAGCCTGAGCTAGACATCCTGTCTACCCTACACATTTCTAGACAACAAATCTCTAAATATCTACCTAACTAAGAAAATACCTAACAACAGTGTTAATGAAAGGCAAGAAGCCATTGGAGGGTCGTTGTATTCCTCTGCAAGAGTTCACTGGTGCCCAGCCCCCACACACTTGTGGAAAATGCACAAGATAACTGTGAGTGCAGTTACAGGCCACTAGAAGGGGATGTGTGGCTTTATAAATAAGTAAAGATTCTGCCCCAGTTTGAACTCCTCATGTGCTGCTACACTGTGAAGAAGATACTGTGGTGGTGTCACTGTATGATCAAACAAGTTTTTCAAAGATGTATCAAGTTGCAGTATTAGAAATGTACTGTATATACACAACCAGTCAAAAGTTTGGACACATTTTTCAACTGAATTGAAAGGGACAGCGTGTCCAAATTTTTGCCTGGTAATGTCTGTATTTTATCTTTATAAAGGTCTGTCTTTCCGTATACATGACAAACATATGTTTTTCCTCTCTTTCAGTAAAGTACATTGGCTGCTATGTAGATGACACCCAGAAAAGAGCGCTGAAAGGAATTTCCTTTTTTGACTACAAACGAATGACTGTATTCCGTTGCCAGGACAACTGTGCAGAGAGGTATGATAAAAGCAAAGGACAAAAACACTCATCCATTATAAATCCCCCCTTTTCACTATCTTTTTACGATCACAGTCAGGCTGAGATATAAAGTGGAACCGATACTGCAGAAGAGAAATTACTAAATGTGATAAAATGGTACTTTCTTATTTGTGATGTTTTATAGAGGCAGAATTTTATAGAGAATGATTCTTAAACAGGATGGGCTGTTACTGGCCAATACAGTGATGTTAACATCAATCTACATCATGATGTACAATTTATTTTATAAAAAAAAACAAACCAAAACACTTGCAGCTGAGCAGACAGATAATTTTGTAGCAGATCAGGAGCTTTCAGTCCTTTCACTTTGTTGAATTTTCCCATTTGTTGAGTTTCAAAGTTCCTTTTTGAACTTCAAAAAAGAATTTGGCAAAAGCTGATTTAAAGCAGTCAGAAAAAATGGAAGTGTACTATGTACAATATCATGACAACTAAGAGGAATGGATCTGCTTCTGAAGATCATGTGATATGATTGAAGGTTTCTAAATGGACTTTGAGGTTTTAATAACAGATTTAATCACAGTTGTGTTATAGATTTCCATCCAACTAAATACACTGAGTACTATAATATGTAGCATTTAAAACTGAAATAATGAAGGTTTAAAATTTCATCATGTCAGATTACATAATACAGCAGGAGATTTCGTCATGTCAGATTACATAATACAGCAGGACCGTTTTAAGGCCCACATCGTGCTTTAGTTATTCATCCATCCATCATTTATATCACTTATCCTGAGGAGGGTCGCAGGGGTGGGGGCTGGACCCAATCCCAGCTGAAATTGGGCGAGAGGCGGGTCACCAGTCTATCACAGGGCTGACACTTAGAGACAGAAAACCACACACACACCTCATAATTTGTGGCTAATCAACCTCAGCTGCATGTCTTTGGACTGTGGGAGGAAGCCGGAGTACCTGGAGAGAACCCACACAGACACACGGAGAATATGAAACTTCGCACAGAATGGCACCGGGTCAGCCGGGGCTCAAACCCAGAACCTTCTTACTGTGAGGTGACAGTGCTAACCACTTGGTATTGGAATGACACATTCAACAGTCACATACTGTATGGGTGTAATGTTGGCGTCAGCAAACATTTGCTCATATACTGTACTTGACACATATTATTTTTGCAACTCAGTTGGAGGGAGCCTTGATGCCAAGTTCATGCATTCATTATAATGTATGTGTATATATACATTAAAAAACATTATTTAATACATCATAATTTGAATTTCAGTTTTGTATGCTCCAGTTTCTATTATCTCTCTGCTCCTTGTTTTCATTTGTCTTCTGTTTCCTCCCATCCTGTCTTCCTCTCTCTGCTACCTCAGTGTCTTCCTCTCCCTCTTTCCCCCCTGAGGAATGCCTAGGATGGCTCTGTTGATGACACGGATATCCCATCTCTGATTCATAGAGTAGGAGAATAGGAGCAGAGAGTGGTGCTTGTTTTCAGCTCCTTCTTCCTTTTCCTTCTCGCCTCTCACAGCCTGCCCGCCTCCTCTGCCACAGCAGCCAGTTAATAAAAACAGACAAACAAATATGGGGCAACAGCACACAGAGGTTTGGGTTTGATTGACAGCCCTGGGGATTTGTTCCGTGTCAGGGGTTTGCTGGATGTCTAATTGCATCTGAAAGGTCTCTTGGGAGTCAAATCCTCCATGAAGCAATAGAAAGGAGAGAAGATGTGTGATGGATTCAGTTTTCAAGTATATTACACTCAGTTATATGTGGCTGTACTTCATCAGCAGAAAGAGATGTTATTTCAGAGTAATGTGTTTTTGTGAAGGATTAAGACACATAATGAAGACTTGGAACAATCACCTGAACTTCTCCATCTACATTTAATAATGATTCTGATCCTTTTTTCCTAATCTTACCTCCAGAGGTTACATGTACGCAGGCTTGGAGTTCGGAGCAGAGTGCTACTGTGGCCATAAGATCCAGGCGCCCAGTGCTTCAGAGAGTGAATGCAACATGGAGTGTAAAGGAGAGAAGAGCAACCTGTGTGGAGGAGCCAACAGGCTGTCCATCTATAGGCTGGAGCTTGGCCAGGAGTCAGCACGCCGCTGTGAGTCTGACACATAGCATAGCATAAATAAATAAAACTTCTCTTGGGCTTCATATGAGCCATGCTCTGCTCCACAAAAGGCTATCGAGTAAACAAAAAAAAAAAATTCTTGAAGTGTCAAACACTTGTTCACAAAAAAATCAGATATTGTAAGAATGTGAAGATCCAAATGTATGTGCATGTGCTGAAAAAAACCCGAATAGACCCGAGAATACTGTATAACTAGCAGTATCCGCAGAGGCACAGAGATGCCATTTTGATCCGGAAATGTAAGGTGCCTGGCTGTTTTCAGGCAGGATATTTGTTTTATGTTGGGTTAATGCCACGTCTGGGAGCAGGCTGCTCTGTTCTTATTACCTCTTTCCCCAGAGAGCTGTGCTACCTATGTAGCTGTGCTCTGCATCCTTAACTTTTAGCACCTTTTCCTTCTTCTTTACTACTTCTAGAAGTAATCGGCTAAAATGAAAGGACTGAGAGTTAGTGTGCACATTAATTGAAAATATTTGAGCAATTCTTGAATCTAAATGGTGTTACTTCCTGAGTCTAGTCCAGTGATGTTTATTATTTTCATTTCTGCTTTTTCCCCCTGTTTGCTGTACATCAGGCTGCTGAGTCTACTCTTCATGTTTGTGTTTCCACCTCTGACCCTGATCTCCGTCATGTGAGCCCTGCTCACAACATCCAAAAAGAAATGCAGGAAATGTGTTGAGGTGGCTGTTTTGTGGTTTTTCCCTCTAAGACCATTATGCTCTGACAATTGAGTGTTTTCATTTAAAGTTAACTGCTATGATAAATTTTGATAGACTCTATTTCTTTTGGTTTGTTATACATTCCATCCTTCAGCAATGCATAAAGATTTCCTCTTAAGAATTTAACTCAAATGTGTGATTGCTTCAGTGATCTATTTATGCTTCTCAAGACCTTGGAGGTGATCTACACTCACCAGCCACTTTGTTAGGTCAACCTGTACAATTGTATGCAATTCATTACAATACTTTGACCTTAACATCTGTGTTTATGAAGCTCAAATGTTTAATTTTTGGCTGAAATTGTCATAAATGTATACATTCAATTGTATGTTTATTATTGAGGTCATATTTAAAGGTTGTGTTGTACTGGACTACATTATATTCATAGGTGTTCCTAATATTCTGACCTGCTCATGTACGTAGCTGGGGAGGACAAAAGTATAATGTAGTCCAGTACAACACCACCTTTAAATATGACCTCAGTAATAAATGTATAACTACATGATTACATGTGATGCACAGTGAGAAACACTTCAACAATGAATGAAAGGCCCTATATTTTTCCAGTTTGATTTATTTGATTATTTATTTGAAGAAGGCCAGAGGCAAAAAGTAGTTCTGCAATTATCATGTAACGTCTATTCAGCAATAGCAAATCAAAAGCAGCTGAAAAAAAAAAATCAATGTTTGAAACATTACCATGAAGATGAAGTGTTAAACTGCTGCCTGTGTGATCTGTGGTCAGCTATCAGGCTGGAGCGAGGACCCCAGGTTAAAGCTCATCATCACACTGCAGGGGTGTGAGCTCTGCTGTTGGTTCAGTCCACTGGTAGGTCAGGGCCTTGGCAGACGGCGGGAGAGTCCCACTGGGATCTCTTCATCAGAGGTCAGTGGATATAGGCCAAGCTGTTCTATTCCTGTTGGTGAGTAAGATTTGGTTTGTTCTGTCTGTTTCAGATGGCAGCTCCATTTTTAAAGGGTGTTTTCACCGGCCAGACAATGTCATGCTGGCACTTCCTTTCAGTGCAGTCATCCAGAACATGTCTGTGGACAAGTGTGTGGACATGTGCACAGGGAAGGTGAGGGGGCTTCGGATGTGTGCTCATGCACTGAACATTTGTGCATGTGAGTGTGTCTGCAGCGTGTAATAGCAGCTCTGTTTCAGGAGAAATCACTGGCCGTCCTCGCTGGAGATCGATGCTACTGTGGCTTCCCGACTCCCCTCTTTTCACTTCATGAGCTGGAGGATGAGGACATGTGTGCCCACCACTGCCAAGGGCAAGAGTTTGAGAACTGTGGGAACGATGAGTACTTTGTGGTGTACCAGACGCAGGTTCAAGGTAAGGACAGCACAGTCAGTGAGTGAAACAGATCTGTGTGTTGAGGTATTGTTGAAAGATGATGTACTTTCTTCTGGTACATTTTGCTGTCAGATTTAAGAAAGTCCCGGCCACAAGGTGAGGCAATGTTGCACTCCTTTTTCTTCTTCTCTTTGCTCTTCCTTTTACTAATCTTCCTGCTACTTCTTAGAAATAACCTGCTAATATGCATCGAGTGTGAAGTCCACTTGCAGGTCTTGTAAAGTGGTGAATAGGTTGATCCTACCCTGTGTTTGCTTCGCTGGTAGTTGAAAAAGTACTTGCAGTACTATAAATCTACATATACTGTAGTATGTTTCAGAGTTGACATTTATATTTGCATTTGATCTTAAGTTTTTATAACTTAAAATATTTTGTTTTTCATGATTTATAATAATATATTTTCAGTCAAGTAAAGGGGCAATATGAATAAAATCCCGTATCACCAAATGTTTCATTATATACTGTATATGTAAATTTTCTTAGTAACCAGTCAGGATTATTTGTTTTGGCTAACGCAACTAAATACAATCTCAAAAATCCAGTTACTTCATCATATATCACATGCATTCAATAATGTAGTTTCACTTTAGGAATCTTTAAAAAAACATTTTCATGTATTACTCATTATTTAAGAATAATCAAATCCATGCAAATATACTGTATAAAGTTTAGAAAAGCCCAAGCGACTTGTAGGATTGAAATAGTGCCCATCCGGTCTATTCTCCCCACAACAGTGGTCCGTAGGCTACGTCTTAGTCAAAATGGTGGTCCCTGGGTCACAGTTAATTGAAAACCCCAGGCCTAATGTAGTCAGAGATATTAAATAGAGAGGAGAAACAATATGTCATAATCTTTGACAAAAGACAAAATACAGTATATAATCAATATACAGTATAATCACTCTCCCCTGCAGTATATTGTAACAGTGAACTACCCTGCAAACTTAACAAAAACTGAAGGTTTACTGCTGTGAAGTGAAAAACCCCCCACAAAGGCCACAGAAGGACAAGTTCAAATCTACTCCAGTATTTTTAACTGACCTTCTCAACCAACACATTAACATCAATAAGTGTGTTAGGCAGTCTGTGAGAATGAGGAATCGGCCCTGCCAACCCACGCACAGCAAAACATACTACTTTAATGCATCTTTTTGTTTAGACCTTGTGTCTTCCTCTAATGAAGTTAACCATTAAATCTTCCAGTGTTTCAACATAATAGTTCTTTTTTTTAAGCTCCTGTTATTACAAAACTATGTAAACAAGCAGGAAGTGCCCATCTTTCATTATCTTTTTGCAGCTTATTTGTGGTGAGCAACTTCTACAGGGTTATAGCTCACAGTCTTTCAGTGTCACCGATCATGTCTGTGTTTGTCACTGCAGAATTGCTGTAACTCTATACATACAACAGATCAATAAAACTGCCTTTTGGTCTTTTTGCATGGTCAGATAAACGCTGCTTGGACCGACACTTCCTCCCCACTCATGCTAAGCAGCTTGTGGCCCTCGCCAGTTTCCCCGGGGCTGGTAACACCTGGGCTCGCCACCTCATAGAGCTTGCCACTGGCTTCTACACCGGCAGTTATTACTTTGATGGCTCCCTTTACAATAAAGGTAAACATTTATCTGACATGGTTCACATGTATTCATTCATAAATATACATCTGTGGATTTAATATACTCACTATGTGATGTCATTGCTTCACAGGGTTTATAGGGGAGCGGGACAACTGGCGGAACGGGAAGACAATCTGCATTAAGACACATGAGAACGGCAGGAAGGAGATCGAAGTCTTTGACTCAAGCATCCTCCTGATCCGAAACCCCTACAAAGCCCTCATGGCAGAATTTAACAGAAAATATGGAGGCCACGTTGGATTTGCCTCTCGGGCCCACTGGACAGGGAAAGGTGAGCCACTGAAAATATTTTATTTTACAGTGTATGTAAAAGCTCATTCTTCACAGTTATGTAAACAAAGAGGAAGACCATTATCAAACTAAACCTGAATGCAAATTAGCTATGGAAACAGTATATTTTTCAGTTTACAAAGTTAAAGGACCAGTGGGTTGTGACTAAAGGTTCACCTAGTCTCAGTCCTTACACTGTTGCTTCTCAGTACTGTGTTAATCATCACCCAACATCCTTCACACTGAGATTTCACAGATGAATGATTTGAAAAGTGAATGAACACAGCATACAATGCAACATAAAAAACTTTACAGCTCTAATTAATAGAATTAACTATTAAACAAAATCCCCATCAACCCCTTCACCAGGAGTATGGGGTAAAATTTAGACAGTTTATAGACAGCAAATAGCAAATATCTTAACATGGTGAAATAACTGGGAAATTATGTTTTTGTGACCTTATAATTCAGCATGACTGAATGTTTTGTTTGAAGACTTCTAGGACCCATTTCCCTAATGTCAAGCACCATCTAAGTGTCTTTTTTGAGAAATGAGAAATGAAACAGTTGACCAACTAACCACAGCTTCAGCCACTCTGGTGAGATGGATGATAAGCTGTGACACCACTTAAAACCAGCTTGTTACACAAACCCTTGTGCTGCATTTAACAATAAAAAATAAAAAAGGTAGTTTAACCAAGAAATGGTAGCATTATGTTAATTGTGGTATTATTAATACACCAATGCCAATTAAACTCACATTAGGCATTTGTCAATAAAAATATTAAAGTTAACAATAAATGTATTTAGTATCTAAATATCTTTACACAAGGGCAGTGCATGACTTTATTTTTTGCTTTGCTATCTTTGAAAGGTTTAATTTTAGCATTTTAGTAGCTTGACTTATATTGTTGTTGATATTAATGTATTATATTGAGACAGTGCTGTTTACAGGGATGACGCTATTTTAGATGTAAGTCATTCCTTCTGTTGTGCTACAGATGTGAACATTTTTTTCTTACATAATCTTTCACCCTCCATTGTGCAACCATGTATGTAAGGATGTGTCAGCACAGTGTAGTCAAGTTAAATTCCTCTTGTGCCTACTTAATGATTAAAAGAGGTTATTAAGAGGCTAATGTTAATGGCATAATTAAAGAAACAAAACCTTTGGGTCTAGTAACTCTTTGTATAAAATTAAAGATATATTTTTATACCCCTTGTTAAGTGGTAGATATATTTCATGCTTGCACACTTTTCTTGCTACATTCACACAGCCAAAGTATGTCCCTATAACCATGGCAACTGATTTTGTCTTGTCCGCGTATCTTCCCTCTGAGTTTACGTGAGGTTTAATCGATTTTCCAGAGACTGGAGAGTTGCCAACACAGCACTTGTCTTTCTCTGTGAAACCATCAGCACATTTGGCCTGCCATTCCCAATAAATGTTTTTTCCGTCTGTTGGTGGGGAAGTAACGCAATGACGTCAGAGAAAGGCTTTTTGACAGCTGCTGCTTTGAATACAGAGACAGGCTGCAGTTTGAGAGTCGGCCTGACATTGTTTTCAGGGGCCCCTCATGTACTCACCTCTGCAGAGGCAGACTGTGGGACTCGCATGATGTTACAGACACTGATGCCTTCTAGGATGGCCCTATAAAGTCAACTCAGGGGTGGGCATAACTTGTTTTGTGGGGAATGTCGTTTCATGGTTGTTTTACAGTGTTATTTGGTGGAAACCCCTTTATTTGGAGCTCTAGACCTCTGCTAATAGAAACATAAGTATCTTAACTAAATTTCATATTCAGTCAAACAGTAGTAGAACAGGATGGTTAAGTGAGGTTTGAAATTATTTTGGGTTCTCTTTATTTTAAGCTCCATTTCTTTGAAAGCCTAATAGAGAAGAGAACAGTATGTGTTCACAGATGCAGTTCTTCACAGTTTCAATATTGCTCATTGTCTTTTTGGATGCAGTCTACAATATTCTGTCCACTCTGCTGCGAAAGTTGTGTCTCTTATTGGTCTTTGAAACAGCACTGCAAACTCAACAGTCTTAATAACCACAACCTCTCCTAACAGTAAACGTGTGCTAATGCAGCATAGCTTCTACCAGCCATTGCTTTTAAGTTCTAGTAGATTTTTACCCGAGCAAAAGTTGCAAGTAAAGAATTTTCCTACAGCCCCCCTGCAGTTTGACTGACAACCAAGAATGTCAATTTTACTGACCACATATTTCAGAAATGACTTAATGCAGCCTCCCATGAATTGCACCAGACCCTTTGAGCTACTGTAAAGGATATCAAGGTTTGGCTATCATGACTGTCACTTCCCCTTCATTCAGCTCCAACACTGCCTTTTTAACTTATTTATTTCACTTTATTTTTGCATTGTGTTGACATATTGTTTTGATACCAAGTGGAGCATTTATCAGATTGCTTATATTGATATTTTGGATGTAAGTAAAAGCCAAAAAGTCACTTTTACCACTATTTACAAAATTTCTTGCAACTTTATTTTAACTTACTGTACATGTATTGCCTGTTAAGCCTTCTGCTTTCATGTAAACATGCTGATAATATATAACACCATGTTTTTTCATGTATGAGAAAAGCATTTGAAAAAAGTGCTGCTTTTGTTTTCAAATGCTTTCTATACATCTTCATTCCCTGCATTTCTTCAATGTTATATCCCTGATGGGCATTTTTCAGTATGGTTTCCTATATATACACATATACTAGATAGCTACAGTATTAGATTTGAGTTACTTTCACTTATTAATTCATTATTTAGACCATTTCCAAGCGTTTAAAGTTTGATATATACAGTATGAGCTGAGTGGTCGATCTGTCTTCTGTATTTTAATTTAATAGTCTAATAGCATTTATTTAGTGCACTGGCAGCTGCAAGGCTTTGTTAAATTATGTGGTGTGCTTTCATTTGTCCTGCAGAGTGGCCTGAGTTTGTGAAGGCCTATGCCCCTTGGTGGGCGTCCCACACGTTGGACTGGCTGGAGTATGGAAGGAATGTCCATGTGGTCCACTTTGAGCATCTAAAGAGGGACCTGTTCTCCCAGCTCAAGGGGATGGTCCAGTTTCTGGGCTTAAAGGTTTCTGAGGAGCGTCTGCTCTGTGTTGAGGGCCAGAAGGATGGAAACTTCAAACGATCAGGGTTTCGAAAGCTTGAACATGACCCATACACTCCTGAAATGAAAGCAAACATCAGTTCACTGATCAGAACAGTAGACACTGCCTTGAAGAAAAGGAACAAGTCTGGAGTTCCAGAGGAATATATGCCGAGATGACATATAAGTTTCCCTTTTTAAAAATCCGCTTATTTGGACTACTCTGTCCAGAGCCTCTGCACCATATTACATATTACATTACTTATTCTTTCAATTATTTTCTATGATGTCATGTAAGTTGAGTTGAAATTGTAGAGAGCAGAAATCAGTCTTCATTATTTTTGTTTTTAATCATCTTTTTCATTTTCTGTTGAACTTCAGCAGTTTCATGCATTAATAGAAGAGGAAGTTTTAGCAGGGAAGAGTTGTTGTCTCTTTGGCCAAATGAAAAGCACTTCCTATTTTGCTCTATGCACATGTGCTGTGTAGGCATGTGCACACTCCTTAACATAAACAAGGTACAATAGCTGTGACTACATAGACTGTACTGGTTGATTTGTTGCCAGTGATAAAACATTTGACCTAAAAGATATAATTCAGTGTTATATAAGCTTATTTTTGGGGCAAAACAGAAATAACTATTATGATAAAAGTCAGAACATTAAATTTTCTGCTGCTATCACAGTTACAGAACAGTAATATTTTATACATGAAATGAAAATTTAAAACGTTTAGCCCTTTGTGAGAGGGGAAAATGCAATATGAAGCCTTTAACTACTTGATAAATATACTGTGTTTGCAAGTTTTTGTAAGTTACTGAACTTACTGTATGTAAAAAATTATTTTTGATGATAAAGGGGTAAAGAACTCAATTCTCAGGTCCTCGTATTCAAGAAGATGAACAATCCCTCTTGAAGGCACTGACTCATGGAGAGAAGAGGACTTATCTCTATAGCATTTATTTATCTCTGGTGTGCAGTGTTGAATAATTCGGTTGTGAATGTTTTCATGGCACTGGACTTGATGCAGAAATCCAAAAAGCACTTCACTGTGCAACACTTGCCCCAAAGATCCCTGAAAAATTAGATATGACACTCATGTAATAGACTGGAGGTGACCTCTGGTAGTAGTGATCATTATAAAATTATTTTATGAAAGCTAATCATAATGTGAAAATAGTTTTTATTGCTGTTTTAAGAAGCTAAACATTTAAAACTGATGAGAATTTTGCTCTTTATATTTTAAAAAGATCTTCACAAACTGCTCAGATCTTAAAACGGTACTCAATGTGCTATGCCATATGCTTGAAAATAAACCAATATATACATAGATACATGGCCCTGCTGGCTAGGGTTCATCACTCTCACCGCTGCGGCCCGAGCTCGATTCCCGGTCGTGGCACCTCTAGCCACAGGGGTTGAAAGCCAGTGACTTCTGTGCTGGTCCCAAGCCTGGATAAATAGAGGGTTGCATCAGGAAGGGCATCTGGTGTAAAAACTTGCCAAATTTACCTTGTGAATCATCAGTGTGGAAACACATGATTCGCTGTGGCGACCCATAACAGGAACAGCCAGGCATGGGAGAAGAAGACCCGTAGATACATGAATGTATAGGTTGCATAAATAAAAACACTGATTACTGAAAGCCAGAACACATTAACTGACTTCCATTTTCAGTATAATATATTTTTTTAGTGTGTGCTGATACATAAAAACAAATATTTGTATTGCAAGAAGCAAATGGGAGAGGTTGTCTATTTTTAACACGTGCTTTAAACTTCACTGGCTCTGGCTTTCACTGAAAAACGGGAACATTCTGAACATAGGTGTCACATTTGAATGTATTTTCTATGGAATGAATGTAATGTGATATGGCTCAATAAATGAATATATTGGTATGGTCTGTTGTTTTCTGTGTTTTCAGAAGAAATGTTGGTAGTACCATAACTAATAAAAAGATGAAGTGTTTATCAGGATCAAAGAAAAGCTTCTCCATCAAACACCTTAAACCAGAATGAATAAAAGTAGTATTTAAGATTAAAATTCTTTCATTAATATTAGTATATGCTAGCCTGAACCCTAACACATCACTAAAATGAAAGCAAATTATCCACAACACACACAGATTGGACAACAAAGAGACTACAAGTCTAAGGCCATATGGCAGCTCTAAGATGTTTAGAGCTAAATGCTAATGTTAGCATGCTAATGCTAACACAATGAAATTATATAATGTTTACCATGTCTAACATATTAATACTTGCTAATTAGTACTAAATACAAAGTATTGAATAAAGTAATATTTAACCTAAAGCTAAGATGTCAGAAATGTGTTTCAGACTATCAGTGACCAAAGAGAGAAGTCAGGACAGTTTTGTGCTGTAAAACCAAAAAAAAAAAAAAAAAAAAAAGAGCAGAAAGACTAAAACAGGTTGGACATAAGTAGAACTGTGGTGTTCACATGTGGTCCAGTTGTTATAATAAAAGCACTATTAATAAGACCTGGAGTTTCAATGTGACTCAGTGCTCTTGTTTCACAGTAACCTTTGTAGTCTGGCTTTTGTCTTTGTACTCCACTGTTTCAACACCGAAAAAAATCGCCAGACGCTCTCATTCTTGTTATGATTCCTCTTATGCTGTTGCTGAACAGGAAGTGTTAAATTACTTTGCTGATATTCTACTCATAAGGTTAACAGTTCACAGCAGATTCATTATTAATTAATTAACTGTATCTACTATGTGCAGTTTACACCTTCAGTGAGAGAATATCTCTGACTCGGGAGATGCTGCACTATTATACTTTTTTGAAAGATACTGTGATGAGCTCAAATTTCTCAGCTTTTATTTTTTCAGGATTGTTGGGAAAATGAGCCTGAAATCATATGATGCAGCGGTCACTCTTTTCCCCTGATATCATTGCACTAGATTACTGCAAGTGAGGTATCAGTGAAATAACCGATGCTGTATATGAAATGTCTTTTCTTGGTGACTGCAAATAACTACAGATAAAATATTCTAATTCCTCCAGTCTGACTATTCTGACTTACATTAAAGTTCTCAGTGCATTTACCACAGTTTTCCAAAAACCATTACTGGCAAATAACAAACAGAAGTGACTGATGAAACTAGCTTTATAATGTAAATAACGTAATAATGTAAGGACATTAGAGAATACATCAGTGATGACTGTAATAGTTACAACTTAATTTCAGAAACTCAGGAGACAAAAACATTCAAACATTGATTGCACAGACCACATTCACTGTACAGCTTATATAAACAAAGTAGCAAAAATACAGGTCAACAAGCTTTTTGAGGATTTTATGATTGTTATAGAGTTGTTATAAAGCTACATACATCTCACATAATAAAATCCTGCCTAAGCTAGTATATACCGTAGTATGCAGAGCAGTATGGTGTGTATTAACTAAAACCAGTTGTGAACTGGGGTATGAACTCCACCAACACACGTACAACACCCAGTTGTGGTTTCCTGTCAATCATAAAAAATTTCAGTAGTCAGTTTTTGGCTTGGTTTGCTCTTCTTTTTGATGCTAATGCATTCTTTACATATTTATCACCAGAAAAGGCACATCATATTTCACATTCCTTTGACATTCACAACCAAGATTACTCTGTTCCTCTTTTTAAAATTTCTTGCAAATCCCCCTTACAGAGTTAGTATGTACAAATTTGATTAATGAAAGTGTGCTCACAAACAAATGCATATTTTATATCCTCCATTAATTCCATACACCTTCAAAAAAATAAAAGCATTGTTGATGTTGAATGAGTGAAGTGAGAGGAACAGTTCTGAGTGATGTCTGACAGCTCTAAATGCGTGTAGAACCTCGGCCGTCCATGGAGCTGGACCTGGACAGGAATCGGCTGATGGTGTGGTCTTCCTCTACCATTGCGTTCTCCATCCTTGACAACATAGAGCTCTTGAATGTCCGCTTGAAGTCATTACCCATGAAAACATACAAAACTGGGTTGAGGAAGCTGTTTGCTGCTGCCAAACAAGTGCCTACTCTGATTCCGGTGTTTAACAAACTGTGGTCATAGTCCTGGTGTTTTAGCTCAAGGAGGATAAACGTGTGGTAGGGCAGCCAGCACATGAAGAAAGCAGCAACAAGTGCAGTCATCACTTTGAAAGGTTTGGTGGACTTGGTCATCCTGTTGGTGCAAAGTTTGAGGATGATGATAGAGTAGCAGATGATGATGATGATGAAAGGGCCAATAAACCCCACAAGGAAACGGATCACTGCAACTAACATGTGACTGTGTTGGCTTAATGTATATTTGTTGAAGCAAATGGTCTTTCCCATGTGACTGTCAACATCCCGAAAGATCATAGATGGGATGCTCAGAGTCATAGCAAGAAACCAAGCCACAGCAACTACAATGGATGCCTTTTTAATGGTGCGCTGGTTCTGGGCCCAGACTGGAAACATCACTGAGATACAACGGTCGACACTGATGATAACCAGGAGGAAGATGCTGCTGAACATGTTGAGGAACATAATGATGGAGGTAAACTTACACATGAAGCGGCCAAAGATCCACTCTTCCATTACTGTGTAGGTGATGTTGAACGGGAGGATGGAGCAGAAGACAAAGTCAGAGATCGCAAGGCTCAGGTACCAGGTGGTGTTGACCGTCTTCTTCATCTTGAAGCCACAGATCCAGATGACGAGTCCATTTCCACAAAAGCCCAGCAGAAAAATGACCACGCTGGTGACCAGCAATGACAAGCAGATAGCTTCCTCTAAACAATTCGATTTGTGATGGAAAACTGGCTCCTCATGGGGAGTGAAATTGTCTTCATTAGTGTAGTTATAGTCTGAATAATCTGGAATGTAATCTGAATAATCCATTTTGCAGTAATTAAAGAACAGAGATTTCTGTAGAAAAGAGAAACATTTAAAATTATTTTACAACTGTTAGTCACAGAAAATGTCTTTGAATTTAAATTGAACCTTGTGTAATATTCATATCAGTAAACAAAACCATACCTGCAACACAGACCTTCCTCTGCTGCTGACTTGATGGTGTTCAGTGCTGACTGTGCACAGCACTGGGCTGTTCCCTTTAGATGTGTCAGAAACACGTCACAGCCCACAATCAGCTGACAGATTCTTTCTCAACACTTCATCCCCTAAATACTTTCAGAACTGCATTTTAAGGTTCTTAGGACATTTTATTTTAAGTTGTGAGTGATGTCATTGATGTTTGTACTTTGTAAATCTATGGACTTGATAACTTTTAAATCACCTGTTAAAATATATTTATTTGTTTTGGCTTTTAATACAGTCATGTCTGATGCTTCCTTCTTTTAAATATTGATTCTGTGTAAATTGTGTGTTTATGTTACTATGTTTTTTTAGTCCTGTGTTGATCTTATTTACTTTAGTTCTTACCTTGTCCTTTTAGTATTTAGTATTTTAGTCAACTGGACATTGTTTTTAAAGTTCTATATAAAATTTTTAAAATTTGATTTGATTTGATTTGGTATGTAGCAAACATTTACTAGCTGACCAATGATTTAGGTTACAGTGACAACATACCAGATTAGATGAAAACCCTAAAAACACTGACCTCACGCTCTTAGAAATGATACTAAACTTCCTGTTTGACCATAAGCAGAGACTGTTCTGTTATTAAAAACATTCACTCATGCTCAGTATTAAATTATGTTTGTAATTTAGGACTCTTCTGGCTTGTGAAAAACAAAGTAGCTTAATTATTATACAAGTATCTTCTCCCCTGTGTTTGTGATATGGTTCCCATGTTTCTCGTTTCTCTGCCAGATGTATCTGTTCAAAACTGTCACCAGAGGAAAGAATGTCACATGTCACTATGTGTATAAACCCACAGAGCATTGGTGCAAAATGGTGAGCACCTTAGGCAATAAACATAGTGATTTTAATTTGATATGTCAAGTCCAGCTTTTGAAGCAGATGTTTCCAATAACAGCAACATCTGTTGCGCACACAGGCCTGAGAACAGTGTGCCCATTATTATGAATGATATCAGCCTTCTGCTTCATGGAGTCATGCTCATTCATGTCCTCTTTCTCCTGACCATGAGGAAGTAGCAGCAACAGCAGCTGCTGGAAGAAAAAACAGATATTACGTTGTTTTGAAAATGTTATCATGAGTGAGGAGGACACTACCAATCCTCAACATCCCGATTCCAGCTTAAACTCCCACTTTTCTAGAAGATAATATACTAATTAGGTACAGTAGGACAAAAACCCACTATAGCAGACAGAAGTGATAATAAAATAATTAAATAAAATACTCTTAGGTGAAAAAGTACATGTTAGCCTTGACAGATAGCTAAAGATGTACATGAGGTTTCATTAATGGGACAACATGGCAAAAGTTGTCATATATTAATTAGATTTCTTATTGTAATTATCATACATTTAACATTTATTTTGTTATGAATTAATTTGTCAACGTACAGTATTACATGTACAATATTAAATTCCAGACTAATACAATCTTTATAAACAAACAAGTATTTGCCCATTAGTGCTATAGCACTTAAAGTCCTCTGTACCCTGTTTGTGATATTGTGTTATGATGCTGACACGAATGCAAATTTTTTCTGTTTTCAGTCTTCCTGACAAATCATTTATGCACAGGTTAGCCCTGCTGAGGCCCTTGAGCATGTGACCAGACAGGGAACAGGGCCTGAAGGAGAGCATCTATTTTCTGAGGTTATGACCTATCAAAAGATCAGATGCAAAACCTCGCATGGCTGCTGCACTGCCTCCAAAGCACAATATTTCCCTCCAGGAGGGTGAGGGAGGACTGAGGTTGGACTCAAGTGTGCAGACCCAGGTGCTAGGGGGAAAAACATGACGGTAGCAGGTAAATAAAGAAAACACAAAGTATCAAAAGAACATAACATGGGAAAGTACGGTACTTGGATATGTATGATATGTAGTGTAGTGTAAATGAGCGTAGCGCGTAGGTAGTGTGGTAGAGTCAAGCCAAAACACACAGTGTCTGTCAGCGTAGCATTCTACCAACATGTACAGTCAGCGTTACTATGTTAATGTTCCGGCCAAGACAGAGCGTCTGTCAGCGGTATAAATAAGGAGGAGAAGGTAATCATTGGGATGCACCCCAGCTGTGTGCATCGACAAACCAGTCGCTAATTACTGGAATGCAACACAGCTGAGGTGCAGAGCCCACAGGATAGAGAGAGCAGAGGAGAGAAAGACAGAGGACAGGCAGCAGCCCTGACACTTACTGTTGATGCATTTGCTACACAGTCAGTTTGTCAATGTACAGTATTGCATGTACAATATTAAATTCCAGACTAATACAATCTTTATAAACAAACAAGTATTTGCCCATTAGTGCTATAGCACTTAAAGTCCTCTGTACCCTGTTTGTGATATTGTGTTATGATGCTGACACATCCCAGAAAGTTATAACAATGTTTGTGTAGATGCTAATATTTTTGCAGTGCTTCACAGCTGGAGCTGTCGTATTAAAGGCCCTGCACATTCAAAGTAAACCCACATGAGGGATTTTAAGTAATCTGTCTGATTAAATCTCCTGTAGGCCTCTCCTGTTAGCTTTGCTGCAGCTTGTGTAGGCTGGGAGAACTTAGATCTCTATCATCCTATTTAGTGGATGGCGTCCACAGTGCTGCCCACTTTCTGCCTGAGCAGAGATACAATCAGCCAAAATCAGGGGCAACACCTATATTATGTTTGTGTACAGGGCCTTTAAAGTGAGACTGAAGCAATTTTTGGAGCTTCTAAACACATTGCCTAATATACAGTAACTATTGCTGCTATGATGTTGCTAGTAATCATATATTCAGATTTTTTTTTTAGTTTACCAAAGGCATTTTTCACTCCTCATACTGTTGTACTGAACTATATTATATTCAGAGGTAATTTTACTTCTTAAGTAATCTCAAAATAAAGAAAAATATTAAATAAAGTTGATTTAAGGAGTCTTACCAAAATATTCAAGGTTCAGTTGAGTTTGGAACAATCCACATGAGCATTAACTACATATCCTTGATCCATTCTGCATAAGCACATACATAGAGAGGTAGCTTTTTTTGCAATATATCTAAG